TAGTCGATTACCTATAGTCCATGGCATTTTGAGATTCCCAGAGATGTCTGCTCGGAGATAGACACGTGCTCGGGGAAAGCGAGCCCTGCCCGAACGACGATAGCTGGAGAGCCGGAACTTGCATAATTTTGTAGAGTAACCTCCGAACTATCTACGCATGCAAAAAAATTACTAACATTGTATGTTAGTTTATTATGAGTTTATTATGAAGTTATTCAAAAAATGCCCACGAGTCTTGTATTTTGGGATGGATAGTAGTTGCAGTTTTTTGCGCTGATTCCAAATATGTCCTTATTTTTTAGTCCAGTCCCTTAGACGATAGAAAATAGTATGAAAAACTGGATTGGGTTATAGATTGAGTTTTAAAAATTGGGGTTTTGCTCTGCTGGATGTTTTTCCAAAACTTGGGTTCAGTAAAGTAACCGCGCTAGGCATTGCTAATGAGTAAACTTAACGAAACTTTCAGAGAGTATTCATCCATAGGTGGGGCATCTACAAAATTAGGAGAAAGTTGCCGTCGCTTTATTTGCAGAGTTATGAGTTTTTCAAAAATTCTGGTTTTTCAGAGGTTTTTCATACTATTTTCTATCATAGGGACTGGACTAAAGAATAAGGACAGATTTGGAATCCGCTCAAAACACTGCAACTAGTGGTGTGTCATTCAACAAATTCCAAAGGATTTGAATTTTTGAAAAATATTTATTTATTTAATTCGATTCGTCAAGTTCAATTAGAATAAGCATTTTGCGAAAAATGTTCCGTATAATTATCTTTTATGTAATTTTGACTTAATCAAGTTACGAATAAGTTAAATATAGCATTAGAACCTCTTCTCATTCAATAGAAATCAAAATCACAGTAAAACTCCGCTAAAGTACTGAAAGCAGTAATCGATATTTTTGACTTTTGTGATCGGGTAAAGAGGATGAAAACGAAGCGGGTCAAAAATATCTTTGATGCTATTTTGTAGAGCTCGACGAGTACTACAAACGGGAAAAAAACAAAAAACTTCTACCTTATAGTTTTTGTGCTGTGGGACCTGAAAGTTCACTGTTTTTAAAAAGGGTCTTCAAAGATGGCCTTCATACTCAAAGAGGAAGATAGATATCGACCTTATTCTTTTTTTATTGGATCAATCAGTTCTTTAGCTTTATTCTTATCTATAGTGCAAGAACTTTTTGTATTGTTTTGCCTTCAGAAAAGGTGAAATACTGAGTGCCATTATTTCATTTTCGGCCATATTGTGACAGCTGGCCTGCCATTGTAAAAGTAGTAGAACAAGTTTTTAATATTAGTATTTGTATTACTCGAAATGCTCTTTCGTGTGGTATGTCAAACGGTGGTGTAAACTCTGTAGAGGCAGAGAAAAACAAGATCAAAGTTGCTTTATTAGAGCGAAAATCGAAACTTGACATTCCTGAGAAGACATGTAGAATATGACTTTTTTAGTGAACAAATATGGGATTCTATATAACATTTCATGCTCTACACGAGAAGAGCCTTGAAATTTTTGCTGCTTTTATGTCATGTAATGGTGGATGGATCAAAATGGAAGTGCCCCTTCTTTACTGGCAGTACCCCGAGCCAGTTTTAGTGAATAAATATTCAATCGACTATCCTCTATTTAAAAATGTCGTTTTCATCGACTCTAGTCCTATTCAAAATGTTGACAGATCGATGATATGTCCAAAGTCTACTTGAACGCTACCTGAACTTCTCATTAGAAACCCTAGTTTGAAGAGACTTTCTTCGATCAAATGAGAGGAAAAGAATCTTGAATGGACCGTAAACTATACTTTGCTGCAATCATTAATTTTTTAGACTACCAGTTATTCGCCTTCATAGTTTGCTTTTTCATTATTTGATCAAACCAAAACTCTTTTTAATTTGATAAAGTGCCATTTTCATCAGATCATAGATATAGTACAATAGAAATAAACGTTCATCTTATTTACTTACTAGATGATGTAGAACAGAGATTTTGAATTCCTTTTTTAGATTTCATCATGTTACACAAATTAGTCAGAAAAATTTCATGTCTTCATACGTTACATTTACGATCAATATCGACAACACCACTCCATCAACAACATCGACAAACAGAAATTTTTAGAATAGCATTAATATTAGAAGGAAAGAGAGGCTTATGTTTAAAGTCAACATACTATTCATTGAGCAGTGGAAGCAGATCAACACAAATTTGGCAGAGTTATGATGAATTACGATCATATCGAAAAGCACGACAACAAATAGTACATTTTCCAGCTGAGCTGAAGGCTTATGAAACACATAATAGAAGCGTTGTTTCTTTATTAACATGCTATAGCTACAAAAAAAGTGAAACTCGATATATTCTGACAACCGGAACAATGATCAGACCAAATTTAATATTATCGTGTGCACATGGTGTAGCTGAATATTTACTGGATAATCTAACTCCCATTGAATATCGTAAGTAGAAAAAACAAAATTGACTTTCGTTTTTTCCTGTATTCGGTTTTTAACAGATTTATATCCATCGTTAACATACGAACGTACCCTAGTCGAGACTCCCGGCAAAACTCCAACGGGAGTCCCAAGTTTATGAAAAAACTCCAGCAGGAATCGTAAGGAGTCCTGATGACTCTCGCAGGAACTTTCTA